GTATCAATTTATTCATAATTAGTCATACAAATCAAAGTTAGTAACCTACGAGGCTTAGGCATCACCCTTTTATCCTTATCCTGGTAAAAGAATACTTGTAACTTTGTGAAAGTTAGTGGAACTCAATCTGGTTGGATTGAGAATTGGATGTAGTCTTGGTGATTGAGATGAACCAATATAAAAATCTCTTGTGTTTCATCTAACTTTTCTTTAACGCTTCATTTGTTAAGTTATTTTTTTTTACTACACAAACGTGTGAGCTTTTGATACACAATATTCAACCCCTCTTCTAGTATGTGGTTTTTCTCCACAAGTTAATTTTGGTCGGTTTGGTTTGATTTTTTGGATCCATCAATATCCAAACCAATCATCCAAACAAAATAAAGGCCAAAGTAATTATCATTTAGACCCAAAAGCTAAACTTATTTTGTCTCATCTATAATCTTTATTGTTAATGCACAAAAAACTCTAGTTGAAGGTGTAGTTTGTAACTTCCTTTTTTATATCTAAAAAAAATATTATAATATTTAAATTATTTGAAACTTGAATAATTTTATTCATTTTGGCTCTAAACGAACTAAATAATATTTGAATGGTTCAATGTATTAAAAAGGATACAAGAATTAAAAGAAAGAGATAATAAATTGGATAAAAGTTTTATTTGGGCCAATTAAATGATTCAAAGTCCAATACATTTCTACTTGTAGAAAATCGTCTAATAAAATTGAAACTCGTCTAAACTGATAAGTCATTTGGTTTAGTTTAGGTCTAAATCATGCAAACTATGTTATATTGATTTGGGCTATATCGATTTTAAACTAACCGCATCAGACCGTTGATCACCCCTATTAATTTGTGCCTCCCTCGATGATCACCTCTAAGTCTCCTCATGCGCAAGCTCTAGGTTTATCAGAATGAGTGTAATGATCCAGCCCCCTATCTATTTTTCTCTTTTGAATTATTCTTTGGGTTAGGCCTAGAGTGTAGCCCAAAATCTTTTGATTAGTTCTCCCCATTTTAATTTTAGTAATAAAATATTCCTCTTATATTTTATAATTATTCTAATTCAATTATTCTTTTAAAAAAAATAGGATGTTATTATTTTTCTTTTGATATCCCTCCAATCCACCTTTAAGCATTGGGATTAGACTAAAAAAATTTCCAAGTTTCGATAAAATATGTGCTTGCATGGAGTGTAACCTAATATTCACGAATTAGGTTCAATAGGCAAGCATAATAATTATAAGACAAACAAAGAGGAAATAAATTTACATAATGAAGTGTCATACCTAACTTCACCAGTTGTTGTTTTAGTTTGGGATCCTTGAATCGATGGTTAAAATTATTAGCAATCCAGTATTTGTGATATGCATGAGGAGGTCTCCAACCAAGTGTCTCATTATCAATTATAGGTTTTATACTGCGATGTTAGTAAAAAATTAGAAGTATACCTCATTTGTTACTTATGTGTTCATGCAAATGAGCCAAAAATCATGGCCTAGCAAACAAAGCTTCTCCCTTGACAACGACAAAGGCACAAGGAAGAACATTATTATAACCATCTTGTGTTGTGGCAATTAGTAGTGTGCCCCAGTACTTAACATATAAATGAGTATCATCAATTTGTATTAAAGCTCGCACTAATTAAAGGCATCACAATGATTACCAACAAAAAAATTATTGTAGCATAAAATCGTAACAAAACCTAGGGAAAATTTCTTTCATATATTTAAGTCATCTTGGTAGATAAGCATATGAATTTTTCAAATCACCAAATATTTTAACTATTGCCTTTTGTTTTGTCATCCAAGCTTTCCTGTATGAAATTTTAAACCTAGTTTGCAATGTTATCATTTCTTGGATAAGGTTGATCTTAATGGACAGGTCTTGGTTTACCATTTCTAATTATAATTTTTATTAGTAATTTATATTTCAATTCAAATTTCAATATACAAAAAAAAAATATAAATGAACATTACAAAACCTTACATTGTATGAATGATGATATCAAGTCTAAACCTAACTTTGCATGATGGACATATTTAAACAAGTATGATATGTCCATCCCATTGAGTCACTTTCCAATTATCCAATTTCTTTGACTCAATTGTCCTCGTATACCATCCACAACTATCAACTGCATTTGAGCATCTTACAACCTACTTTGTTTTCTTTAGATTCAACCATGTAAAAACTTTGATACATTTTTATCATATTTTTTTAACCTTATTTTTCATATCATATTTATTTTCAAACTCCAGGACAACATATAGATCATCACCAATTGACCAAGTACTTGACAACTTCATCCCTGAAATTTCTTCCTAATTCGAGTGACTCCAATTGATATTTGCATAATGAGATAAATTACCCAAAGATTGACTTGCACTTGTTACAATCGACAATAATTAAAAAAAACAAAAAATAATAATAACAACTTTTATTTGAAATATTACTTTACTCAAAATGACACACAAAAATAGGTTCAACAGCATTGTCATCAAATGATGGACAATCATCTAAATTATTTTCGCTTGATTCGTCTCCACTTTGAAAAGATAAAGAAACGTGATAGTTTTCATTGTCCTTTTCATCTTTATTTTCATTTTCTTCTCTTGGCATATTTAACAAACATTGAAATTGTCGTTGATTCATTGGTGGAAGTGCCAAATTTTGTAATCAAATGAAGATGTCCCTTCAACACTGATTACAACATATAATTTCATTATTAACATAATCGTTTGCTTTGAAATGAGCCTATCATGCATTGAACATCATCATCATCACTTAATTCCAATGTTTCATACTTATCTCTAGCTAAAAAATGATACTATATAGATAATATGACTTGATCATCTAAAAAAAAAAATTGTTGTGAATCTTTTTTTTTCTTCAAAATATCCAAAGTTATACCACATTTAACATACATTTCTTTCTTTTGACCATTAAATATAACACCTTGAAGACCGTAAAAAGTTCCAGTATAAATAAAAGTCATAATTTGATCCACAATATCTTAGTAATATATATTTATTTTTTAATCACACTCTTCCCACTTAGTTTACAAACAAGCATACACAAGATTGTCACGGTTTTGTGAAAAAGTAGCAAGATACCCTATATAAAGGAGAAAAATCATGCAATACCCACTAGTGACACAAATATAAAAATATATATATAAATATTTTTTGTAAGTGGGCCTTATGGCACACTTGTAAAAAAATTAAACACATCTTATTACTACTTATAGTGCCACATATTAAAAAAAATTAGTGATTTAATAGCTCACATCATCACAATTAAAAAATAAATATATTAGTGATGTCATACCCCATAGTGTGACACACACACACATATAAGTGGTGCAATAGCCTACAACATCGTACTCATTAAAAAAACACATAACATAGGTGTCACTGAGTTGACTAGTGACATTTAACGTTGACTGTCCCAAATGAGTAAATAGTTTTAAAACAGTCTTATATACATAAAATGTATTCATAATAGCTCTACGTGGGTCAAAAAAACCAAGAACCTCAACAACGCAAAATCATAAGGGGAGATAGTGGAGGCAGGGAGAGATAACGAAAGTAATGTGCTGGAGAGTGTATGAGAAAGAAAATATTAATAATTTAGTGATTAAAGGTGTATTGTGTTATCATGAGATTAACTAATCCAACAATCAAAATAGTGGTGCATCGTAGACCACCTACAAAAGTGATTTAGGTAACCCACATCCTTTCTATGAAGTGAATTATATTGAAAGTAGAGAGGTCAGAGTAGGGTGAGTGTGTGAGTAACTATGATAACAAATTTTAGGTTAAGTTGCTATTTTTATTTTCTTATAATATTAGCTAAAAATATTCTCTTAATTTTTAATTTTTCAATTTTATAAAATTTAGAATTTTAGTCTCACAACTAAATGTTTATTCATTAATCATTAACCTTGTAACATTGATTATGATCTTATATTAAATAGATTACATAAAAATTAATATTTAATATTATATTAAATTACAATTTTAGTTTTCACTTTTATCACATTTTCATCTATTTTTACAAATTTTATGATGTAAAAAATTAGGAATAAAAATGCAATAAGAATAATAAAAAGTCTCTTTGTGAAAGAAGTATGGAATAAGTGTTTTAAACTTAAATGTCGAATAAGTTTTAAGATGTCCGGTGAGCATAATCCAAAATATGCGTCCCAACTTTTATAGTTCATCCAAGCTTTTGTTACGATTATAGGATAACAACTATATCATGAATAATTATTTTGTCACAAACCATCATGTTGTGCTACTAATATAATATGCAATAGTTTTCTAACAGAGCTTATATTCTTATTTGTCATTTGCATGAATATAAAAGTCAAATTACTATGTATGGGCAAATTCTACCATGAACCCTTTAAATATCATTGATGAACCATGATTTTTATTATTTTTTAAGATGTGGTCTGTGTAAATCATTTACTCTTGACCGTTAGATATATATTAAAAAAAATCAACGATCGAAATTTATTAATATTTATAGCTGATTATTTAAATTTTTTTATATTAAATTAAATATATTAAATTATATTAAATTATTTTAGTATTTGAATGTCAATTTTGCCCTTACGATAAGGGTGTAATGTTTGCGATCATCCATTGAGGTGCGAAGAATACCGTTCTCCAGCATCTCCGCCACCGTTGAGGGATGAAGAATACCGTTCTCCGGCATCTTCACCACTTAAACAATGTAGTAGACTCCTCTTTGTTTTGGTAATTTCATACATTTTGGTATTATAGATATGATACTTGTTTATAAAAAAAAATCTATTCTATTTGTAAGAAAAAGAATAAGAAATATTCAACAAAATTCCATAAACGAGTGACTAAAAAAAAGCAATTTATGGTGTCAAAAAAAATTATATTTTAGGAACTAAAAACATTATTCTATTTGGAAGACAAAAAACTCATTCAATCCAATGAAAAAAAAAAAAAACAACAGCGAGATCCAAAATGGTGCAAACAATAAGTATAATACAGTCTAAACTGCCAGAAACACGTACAGTCTCCATATTTAAGATAACAACGCAGCATGTGATGGTCCTATGATAAGTTAAAGCATATCACAGACCCCAACTAGTTCGTATGAATATTTTCCAATCACGAAACTCTATCTATAAGCCCAATAAAACATTACAGATATGCATATTTTCTAATCACGAAACTACATCTATACGCCCAATAAAACATTACACAAAAAGAAATGCAGAAAGAAGGAACGAATTGAAAACCTTAGAGCCCCACTACAGAAGTTATAGACCATTAGAAAATCATAAACGTGTATTTCATCTTCGTTCTTGAAGCTCGGCATCTTCTACTCTTTACCAATGATTGCATCTGGAAACACTCATAGATCTTACTTTCTGGCCCTTTTTGAGTTACCCTTCTTAGGCCCTTCTGTTCGACCTTTTCTCTTGGAAATACTGCTGTCAACAACAGCATTAGGGGCAGACTGAGATGGCACACGATGCCCATGAACCACAGCAGGGAACCCAGCAGCAGAGGTTCTGCAATACAAACATGATCAATGCCTTTAAACAAATTACATCTAATTAACATGAACTGCATTAGATCAGCTTCACAGAACTTTCTTTACTAATGATGGCCACATGGGACTTGGAGATTATTTTTGACATCGTAAAACTTTCTGTTTAGCTTGCATTAAAGCTAATCTTGTTTGCTGAGTGGGTTGGAATTTCCATGTTATAAATTTGTTCAGAAAATTTACATTATTGAAAAAGGAGACTTGTTTGGTTCGGAAAAGGCTCAAAGGTGATATAGCGATTTTGACATTTATGTAACGTAATTAAACTAACCGCTACAAATTTTCAACTCAGACACAAACAGACTAAACATAAATGAACCCATTCATTACTTTATTTAGTTCCACATACCCCATTAAAACAGCTAAAGAAAATATGAACTATCTGGTCCAGAAAAAATTAAGGAGAAGCCATGAAAGTTACAAGACTGACAAAGAAAGGAGTAGTTAACAACTTAGAAAGACTAGGACCTGTGTAGATAAAGTTTCTCCATAAGCACTAATAAGAGAAGGACATATAAAGAAAAATTGAAATAAACTAAATTTATGCACAAGTTAATTTGTAGAAGTTGTGTTATACTAGCTTTTCCAAAAAGCTTTTTTAATTTATGCATAAACTAATTCTATTTTTCCTTCCTATTTTCTTCTCCAATAAGGGCTTTTGGAAAAAAGATTGTCTAGACAGACTGTTATTGTCCTTGGATGGTCTAGGCACACATTGTTAAATTTAATATCAAGTTAAGCATGAATTGTGTATATCTTCACAAAAACATTGGTCATCAAAGACAAGGTTATAACTTATTAATGCTCTGGTGATGCCAATACATGAAACGATAAAGCATTAGCATATTCATTAGGAAAAGTGGAAGGCCAGTGCCAAATCATGAAACCAAATTAATCAAACAAAGTTTCTGTTGTTTCCCAGATGAATGCCCAAAACAAAACAGCAATGACAGTAAAAGAAAGGTAATATGACTTGCAATTGCAAGCCTTACCCAGCAAGAGCACAGCAGACTCCTGCGTGGTCATGGAAGCACCAAATGCACCACGCGATTGCAAGCAAAGCCGCAAAGCATGGTTCTCAGCATAGCAGCACTGAAGCAAATGCCCCAGTCTTCTGCATTCCCCTTCCAAATACCTACTCTTCATCTCAAGGTCTTTCACATACAACTTCTTCCTCTCCCTTGATCTCACAGCAGCATCCCTGTTCCTCAACTGCCTGAAAAACACACGTTGAACACAACTCTTGAGACCATAATCATCACAACACACCCTATCACATTGAGTTTCCATCAAAATCTTCACAAAACAAATACAACAAACAACCAAACCTTATTTAACTTCTAACCAGCATCAACCATATTTTCGTTTTATCAGTAGCAGTTATAATGACAACAATAAAGCTTGAATATAGAACTTTGTGCATATTACTCCAACACTCCACCACTAAGCCGACCTTAGTGGTTCTAGCACCAATCATATGATTATGATTTACGAAGCAATAATCACGATAGGACCATCAATACATCAACATCCAAATTCTCGAAACACAATCATTTGAGTCGTGCAAATTAAACTCAAAAACTCTGCCAAACTGACATCCATTTTATTCTATAAATGCAAATCTGACAGCACTCTACAATATCCACCATAATTCTATCCTGTAACCAACTGCATCAAACAATAAAAAAAATATATGCAAAGAAAATAAATGTATAGATTCACAGAAAAATTCAGTGCAAAAATAAATATTTTATACATCTAGATTCTATAGCACATTACTAAATCACTAATTAATACATTGAAATTTACCAAATCCGAGTCAATCAACATCAAACTGCAATATTTGCGGTGTCGAAATCCAACAATTACAAATAATATTCCAAAAAAAAAAAAAAAACACACATAAACCCGTTAACATCATAAAAGACTAAATAGTCTTACAGCGTCATTCAGTTACAATCCGACATATGTTAGACTTATGCAATAAAAACATTAAAACTCATTCCTACCACAACTTCCGATTAATCGAAGGTTAAAGATAAATTAAACTCTTTTTACCTTTTTAATTTCTTGGACATGGGTTCATCGGGAGTTGCCTCATCGGTTCTGTCTTTGTCGGAGCCTTCCTCGGACTCTGCCTTGGAACGCTGACTCTCCGGTCCTTCCTCGGGCTCCACCAGCATCTCCTCGAGAAGCTTGTAGTAGTCGTCGGACTCAAACGACGGCGTTTGGGGAAAGACGGCGTCGTTTTCGGCGTGGGTCATGAGCAAGTTTTCGATCTCGGACAGAACGGAGTTGGTCGGAGAGGGGTTGTCGTCGACGGTAACAGGAGCCGTGTCGTCGTCCTGAAAAAGGTCATCGACGTCGAATTCCGGTAAGCCTTCGAGGAACGATTCCCAATCGATTTGGGCGAGTAGGGTTTCTTCTACGCGGTCCATGGAACCAGGGGTTGAACTGAACTAGGGAGAACAAAATATTTATCAGAGATTGGGGATTGGAGTTGTGTTGTGACTTGGGGACTAAGGAACCGCGTGGATCTCTCTTCTGCGTCACTCGTCCAATGAGAGCGCGTATAGTGGCATGCCTTTCACACGTGGCCGCTGCCTCCAATATTTTTGTTTTCCACCAAATTA